AATTCATAGTGCTCATTTAGAGCCTTGGCACATACAGAAACTTAAAATGTAAGATTTAAACGGTAAGAAATCAACATGTTGGATTCGCTACTGCTTACATTATGGTCTAACGGTCTCTATTATAATTGATCGATTCGCTTACTGCTTAAGTTTTTTTATCTGCCATAGTCTTTAAGAAAAAAACAAGAAAATCCAACAATCTTCTTGATTTGGAGCTTTAAATATGTTATGTAAGCTCCAAATAATTTACACCAAATGGAGCTACACTCAATAAAATTGTTTTCCGAAAACTGCAATTTGGTTTTACATATAAATTTATTCATTATTTATATCATTCTATTTGTATTTTTAATATCTCATAAAAAATAATTTTATTTTTAATGCTTGAAAATTGTATTGTCTTCGCATATAGAAATTATTATACATGATTGAATTTAGCGCTTTTAGATAATACACGAGATTAGAGGAAACCGATATTTATATAAAAAGACTTAAAATTAGTTTGTTTTAAAATTGTATTTATATCCCTTAAAGTGAGGTTGAGTATTTAAAAAAAATACATCTTTCATTTTAATACCGTAACGTTCATGTATCCAAAGCTCAAGGAAAAGGACGCCGAAATAGTTGAGTTTCTTTTCTTTGTAAATTCTTTATTTTCAAAAATTTAACGGTCTATTTTCGCTCGTATTATTTTGCATGTCAATTTTCGGATTTCTTTTATCGTTGTGCAGTATTACGCAATTTCGAGACAATCTGTATCGAGATCCGGGTATTTATCTGTTCCCATATAGGATAATGGCCGCAGTTCGTAAATTGTTCTTGTGTAAGATGTTTCGGTTGCTCGCTTTTGTTCAATCAAAATTCTTGAGCGAACTCTTCCGAATGCATTGAAAATTTCAAACGGTCCAAGCGATCCAAACTAAAACAACGGGACGTCGTAAGATTTTAAAAGACATCTGTTAGACATCCTAATCTTTCGCACGTCTCCTGTGACATCTTTCGTTTGGTAAGTTGCTCCTGCATTACACGGGCGACGACTACATGGAGGACGACTTCTCTTACGCACATTGGCAGTATTCCCTGTATATTCTCCTGCATCGTAATCAAAACTGCAGTCCGTATGGAACTTCCTTATAAGCACACAATATTTCTAGAAGGTTATATAAATATTATCTGTTTTAATATTCATATAACATTCTAAGAATGTTGTGTCTTATATGGTCACGGTAGACCTCGATCATCGGTAGCTAACGTGTAGAGATAACGATTAGAGATAACCGGCATTGAACTAGCGGCCAAAAACCAAGCAGCTTGTTGTAATTCAGTCCCTACATTCGGCGTGTGTGCGCACGGAGCGTGAGGCGAGAATATACGCGTATGTGTACGCATAATTTTTATAATAAGACAATCGCGCGCTGATTCGGATGCGCAACTCGTGCCGGTCTCCTTATCGGGCTTGGATACGTAGCCGATATCACGTACACGTTGCGACACGATGCGTGGCCAAAAAGTCTTGTTCCTATTTCTCTTAGTATGTATGTGTGTGTGAGACTAACGATACGGCCGATTTCCGGACGGTCATATCGGGGAAAAAGAAACGAAAAGAAAGAAGAGAAAGAAAAGAAAAGGAAGAGTAAACGAATAAATAGAAACTGGTCTATCCGCAGCATCTTCCGCAACGATCGCACGCGTCCGAACGCGTAGACGCCGCACGTGGCAATCTTATCTTGCGACCGCCAGTTGTTTGAATGTCTCCATCATATACATATAAAACAACTGCGTTCGACGCGCCGAACGAAAGGTCGGAACAGAGTGAGAAAAAGCTAGAAGCTAATCGCTCGTGCGATTAAATCCCGGTACGTAGACGCGTGACGGGGCTTCTCGTTTAATATAAATGCCTAGTACTTATAGTATTTTCACCGTTAATTTATTGACCCTAATGTAAAAGCGGCAACAGCCGAGACGGTTAATAGTCGACTGAGTGGCAGGGGGCGGAAAGGGGGGGGAGGGGGGAAAAGAGGGTTGAAATGGGACGGACACATTGGGAATTAGCGGATCGTCGATATATTAGTACAACGTTACGGTAAAAACGGTTACGGTTGCGGAAGGGATTATAGCGTTATTTATCGAAAGATCAGCGCGCATCTGCGAATCTGATCACCATGCTCGACACGTCGCCTCTATTTTCGTAGGGGCGCGTCACGCGCTTCTCCGTCTTCGAATTACATTTACGAATGTGGGGGAGATTGCGGTGCATGAGGGGGGAGGGGAGGGGGTGAGATCGACGAAGACAATTACGACCTCACGTAAGTCGATACGAAAAGGCGAACACAGTTGTAGCTAGGCAGTGGTCTATGGGACGATCGAACAGGGCGATATAATGATTTGGAGCTTGATGTGATATAATACTTATGTGCCAAATAGCGTTTTCGCGGGCGGGGGGTTAATCAAAAAAAAGGAAAAAGAAGAAGAGAGAGAGAGTGAGAGAAAAACCTCTAGTTCCGAGTCGCCTCGTTGGCTCAACGTGAAACGAATTTTTTGCGTCTCCTCCTTTTTTCACGTTTTCTTCTTTTTGTTATTTATAATCAGTGCAATTACATACACACACGGTACCTAATATAATTTTATAAAGAGAGCCAGTATCCTCGATATATCTGCACCCATTTTGTTGGGGCTCGACCGGCATCAGATTTAAGGTAGCTTAATGTTGATAATAATTTATTTTATGTATATAATGGATTTGTACATTGTGTCGGGAGATAATCATCGATCCACGGTCCGACACGAGCGTCAATATTATTAATGTACAGTGTAACTATATTGTGATGTATCTACGTAGCTACATTATATATATATATATATATAACTATTTGAAGTATGTAGATTAACAATGTTAAATGCGATATGTATTCTTATTTTCAATGTCATTATTATCTTTATTATTATCTTTATTATTATTATTATTATTATTATTATTATTGAGATGGCACCATTATTATTATTATTATTATTATTATTATTATTATTATCATTATTATTATAAATATTACAGTTATCGATATCATCGTTGCTTATTTAGTACACTATTATTTAAGTGACGAGCCTTATTATTTTTAGTAGCAAGAAAAAGGTTGTACGTGCCAGTTTTAGACAAGAACGGCAAGTGAAAGTTCGTTGGTCGTTTATGCTCGAATACTCAATCAAATTTTAATGCAATATTTTTATGTACATGTTTCCTTTGTTTGAGCCGTTTTCTTGATCTGTGATTATTTTGGAATACTGCATCTAGGAATTTCAATTTTATGTCACATTCATAGTTTTCATTTCAAAGTTTTAAAATACGTTTCTCTCTTTAGATCAATCTTTCATTGCCACTTTCAAACAGTAAGCTTCGAAAGAAATTCAATTTTCTTTTAATCATTTTACTATTAGACAATGGCAATTTTTCATTTAGCAGAAAAAAATGATATATTTTGGGTAAATGATCTGCCTACGTTGCATTTTTTCGATTGTGCCATACCCTCGTTACAAATATTAAAAAATTTAATTGTTTTCACGTTTGTAAAATTTTTAAATTAAACCACCTGACAGTGTAACTCGCGCGTGCAATGAAGTTCGGGTCCGCGTTTCTCTTTTTTAAAAATCTTACCGATTCTTATTGTTGCCCGCAGTTTGCTTTGATAAAAATCGATTCTGCATTCCATCGATTGCGATTTCCATCCACACAATGATCGTTGAAATTAGCAACGATATTTAGTTCGTGGCGATCTCCTTACTTTCAAATATCACGAATGTTACGCGATAATATATCAGCACACGATTATTATATTTACTGGCCTTTACATGCAACCAATGCGAATGCAAACTGTAAGAATAGTAAATTGTAAATCGAATTACACTAGTAATATTATAGTATATTTAACGTAAAGAAAAAGTGAACACTAACATCTCCGCTCTCAATATTCCAAGCATTCACTTCATTTACATGTACGTTGTTGTTAATGGTATAAAAAATATAATAAAATAACGCTTTACCGAAATTCAATCTTAGTTTTAGGGGTATACGACACTATTTCTAGATGAAAAATATGTATGTATGAGGGATGTATATAGTTATGCAGTACCAGTGCAAATGAAGAGAGACAGAATGAACGGGAGAAAGAAAGACGGAGTGAAAGAGAACGAAAGAAAGAATAAAAGAGAGGGAGAAAGAGAAAGAGTGAAAGGTAGTGAATATAAAAACCAGTCAGACGATGCGTGTATATGAGTGAAATAGATTTCTCACGATCATCTTAACACTACTCGTGTCGTGATCGTAGTACATTATCGGTATATCACTATCAATAGCATAAAATCAAAATATATATTTAGGATGATGGGTAAATCGCTACTGATAACACTACTTTAAATTTTATTTATTGATACATACTCATAAAGGAATAGTTTTCATCGCGGCAGTGTTAAGATGAGCGTACAAAGCATACAATAGAAAGGAAAAGTCATTCTTCGGAACGCACATATAAAGCAGTAAAATTTATAAGTCTAAAGACGTAGTGCGTTTTCGCACTTACTGTTATTATGAACGAAACAATCGCATCTGAGAATACAATAACAATTTCGTTGAATATAATTGATAAATCTAAAATAGAAGTCTCATCAAGTACGCACCACAAGCTGGCTGTGAATCATGTGACTAACTCTCCTTCATATTTCATTGTTGACGAAGAGCACGCATATATTCATCACTATCGCTTAAATTAAAATATACGAATAAACATTGGGAAAATGCAATTATTTATTTATGCTGACACGACCCAAGATGACTTTTCCTCATAATTAGATAGAGACATCAAATGCACTGTATATCACAATAGAGAACAGCACTATTATAAACATAAAAAAATATGATTATATTTATTATAATTTGAAAGCTAGGTACTCTTTGTTGTTTGTATTTTACAAGCGTAATCATTATTATATATAAATAAATATGAACTATATAAATGAATAAAGACTTTTATTTTTACACGTGTCATGCAGAAAAACTGACGAATTAGAAGAGTATAACAATTTAATGATAACGAAAATACGTGGTTAAGATTAATAAGGTTTCATCTATTTGTATCTCTGTGGCCGCCAGTTTTTTCATCGCATTTTGCGCTTTTTCAAGCTGTTGAGTTTCAGATGGTGTCATCATTTCTGCAATCTATAAAGAGTTTAAATTATTATTAATTATTAATTCGCTTTTTTGGAACTCCTTATATCACAGTAATATATATAATAATAATAATATTACATCAGCCAATTGTTGTACCGTCGCGCCATGTTCCTTTAAATTAGCAGAAAGTATCTGTACTCTCAATTCCTTTTCTATCATACGTTTGTTACTATTCGATTCATGTTCCCGTCTTGTTATAATATTATACAATGCATGATAACAATGTTCGATTTCCATTTCAACAACATTAGTTAAATCGATGCAGAAGTGATAAGGTAGTGGTACTGATGAAGTACCACTTCTCTTTAACTGTTGAGTTTGTATGTAATTTTCCTGCGACAAGTTATATGTTGAAAATATGGCTTCTTTAGCTGGAATCATCGCTAACTTCTGGATTTGGTTCAAGCTAACATCAACTTCATAACGAACTAATCTAAATTCACAGAAAAAAGCCAAGAGATTAGAGGAAGCGTACAATTAAAATATTAAAACATTCTCTCTTCCTTACAGTAAAGTGAAATATTGAGAATTAAATTTGTAACTTACCTGAAAATTCTTGCAGGTTTGGAACCGAACCTTTCTGTTACAATATTTTCCAAAGTTGTCCATGTTAACTCTTTGAATGCGTTCTTCATGTTAACACTGTACTGCCCGCCACCAGAATCGCCAACTCGCTTGATGAATTGTGTACTATCTTCTTCTAAAAGTCGCAAGTACTGATCAATATAACGTTCAAGGACTTCATAATTCAACTTTTTCACTTGTTCTTTTATCTCAGTATACGGAATTGGATTCGATGTATCTGCCCAAGATGCAGTTCGCAAGTACATCAAATTAATCATTTCTCTCATTAATTCTCCAGCTTCTTTGTCAAATTTTCGAGTCACAGCTGATATAACAGTTTGATCCCTGTATATAAATCATACATTAACATTTTAAGATACAATCGGAGAGCAATTAATAAATTAAGAATCTTACCTAAGATCTTGAGTAAATCGATCAAAATTGACCTTCCAATATATTTTTCTATCTGAAAATGCAACATTTTGTCCTTCCAATGATTGGGATATGGCTAGCAAATCAAGATTTGGTAAGTCATACTTAGGTTTTTCAGTATCTTCTGACATTGTATCAAAAGATGTACAATTCATTAAAAATTGATTTTTTACTAATAACTCAAATACATTTTTTAGATCAGGGACAGAGGGCGGTTCATCAGTAGCTAGTACAAAAATATTTTTAGATTATTAATACACAAAATTCCAGAATTTATTATATTACAAGAATAGAATTTAAAAAATAACTTTAAAAAATAGAAACTGAATAAGAAAATATATTATACTTTTGAACATACAATTAGAAGGGGCCTGTTCAATTCGTTTGTATGTTTTTATTATGACTTCAGATGCTGTGATATATCCGTTCTTTAATACTTCTTCAAACATAATTTCACCGTCATCTCCACAGTAAGTTTTTGCAAAAAGTATGTATCTATAATGAATATTTATATTTCTAACATGAGACAAATTATATTCTATGATACAATTAAAACTCTTATTTCAATGTATAAAAATACCTTGGATAGCGAAGAATCATAATAATTTTGTTTTGGTGTATGGCATACTCAACATGTAAATTATCCTCATTTTTGTGATAAGTGACAAAGCCAAATTTTATAAGGATACTTAGTCCTTCTTTTACCTAAATAAGATAATCACATAAAAATATTAGCAAAAGAGAAGGTCCAAATGAGTAAGACATTAATCCTTAATACTCGCGATTGGATCGTTCATATCCTATATATTTCTTCTCTTTGAAAAATTAGAGCACCAAATAATTAGTTATATTTTATAACATTTATATACAATTTTTTTAAATACATAAATACTTATAAATATTTTCTAAAAATTAAATGTGCAAAAATCACTTAATAATTTTTATTTATTTGTTAGTGATGAAAATTGGGACACACAAATGACTCATCGTATGTACTAAAGGTTAGTACATACGAAGTACAAAACATATATTTCAACATAGGGCAAAATTCATAACCCAATCTTATATTCAAACTCATCCGAGATAGATTTTCAAAATACTGTATGGTCATTTCATTGGTTGATTGGAATCTTAATCCAAAAATAATTATCTGGGATAGTTTTTTATATTGCAATAGTGACAAAATTAATTACAGTAGATTTTTTAGTGATTGAGAATTCATATCTATTTTATTTCTCCTTATTTTTTTAAAAGAATATTGATATCTGCATAGTAGTTTCAAATACTAATAAACTATAGAATAATCTATACAGCTGGTTATACATTAGTTGCAAGCTGGTCGCAAGTTTGTTGCGACAGTTAATCTGAAGCTTGCATTTTGAAATCAACAAACTTGCGATCAGCTTGCAACTAATGTAGAACCGGCTTAATATGCAATATATAATTAATGATTTTTAATTCAGATGTAAAAAAATCCTCCAAATAATCGTTTATGCAAAAAATGGTAGGTGACTATTTCCAAATTTAAGGCCAGTATTTATAGACAGTTCTTATATTTAAAATGGTTTTTGATGGTTTTAAAATGTCATGTGATTCAATCAGAATGCTGTATTAGCACCTTAAGATATTACTTAAGACAATCCCTGAATATATAAGATCACCAATCTTCACTATTAGTAATATTATTACATAATATATAACTGCAAACATTGTTTACCTTTATTTTCGATAAATGTGTTCCAAAACATATTGCAGATAACGTTTTTGGTCCGTACAATAAATTATTACCAATCTGCCCTATGATAGGACCAAAGGATTCTTCTAACAATAACAAGCATAGTTTGTTGTAAAAATCCCTCATATTTATGATAATTAATTCCTTCGCTTTCAGTTCACATAAATTCCAAAAGCAACCACATATAAGTTATTTTTACATGAATCTAACAGCGTGGTACGTCTTTTTACAAATCCTTTTTTGGTAATTATACAGAATACCTCCCCCACCTCCGATTTCGATTAAATTCGGCTCATTCGACGCGTTTTTGCATAAAACGAAAGAATCTGGCAGAAATAAGCGTCGTTCCGCTCCGCGAACCGAGATATTTAGCGTTAAAGTTTATTCAGGTTAGGAAATCTGTCAGCCCTACAATCATCATGTTTTCTACATGCATTCAATGCATTTCTGTGTCATGCGCATGCGTCTTGTTACTTGTCGGTCCAACAGGCACCAAGTTTAAAATGTATGAATTAGTTACTCGTACAATGTTTCTATTATACGTAATTCTATTCCAAATACATCAAAACCCATGTGGACAGAGGAGTGTGTAGACAGTAATGGGCCTTCTACAATAAAGGCCCGTCTACAATGCACGGAGTAAGAAGTAAGAGTAAGAAATTGACCAATCACAGTCGATTATTCTTCTCACATTCGACTGTGATTGGTCAATTTCTTACTCTTACTTCTTACTCCGTGTATTGTAGACGACGCCTAAGCCGCAAGTCAGAAGTTCTAAGCGATCTTAAGTCATAGTCGGTGAAGTTGGCCAATAGCCAACCTGAACGACTTGGTTAAAGCGGGGAGCACAGATTCTTGCATAACGCATAAGGCGTCGTCTACAATACACGGAGTAAGAAGTAAGAGTAAGAAATTAACCAATCACAGTCGATTATTCTTCTCACATTCGACTGTGATTGGTCAATTTCTTACTCTTACTTCTTACTCCGTGTATTGTAGAAGGGCCTTAACACATGAGGCATAAGAAATTGAACCAATCAGAGTTCTTTATTTCATAGAAAGGAAGGAAATGAAGGACTTCGATTGGCACATTTTTTTATGAATTACGTGTTATGCGTTATGCATAAGAATGTGTACCAATCGAAGTTCTCCGTTTCTTTCCCTTCCATGTAATAGAGAACTCTGGTTGGTTCAATTTCTTATGCCTCATGCGTTATGCGTTATGCAAGAGTCTGTGCTCCCCGCTTTCGACTGGTTAATGGCCGCAGCACAGATTCTTGCATAACGCATAGTGCATAAGCGAATCAACTAATCAGAAGCTTTCTTTTCCTCTCATTCCATGGAAAAGAAAAATTTCGATTGGTTGATTCCCTTGTGCACTATGCATTATGCGTTATGCAAAAGTCTGTGCTGTGACCTTTAGGTTCGGGGCAGCTACTATGAAAACTTTGGCTGCGTTCAGCGGACTCAACGGTTGAGTGAGCACTAGCTGCTATTGATGTATTCTTCTAGATCTAAAATTCTAATTGAATGATCTGAAAGAATACACCAATAATAGCGAGCGCTCACTCAACTGTTGAATCCGCTGAATGCGCCCTTTAATAGCAGCAAGCGCTCACTCAACTGTTGAGTTCGCTGAACGCAGCCATCGGTTCCACTCATCGTGCAGCCATTATGCACCAATAGGCGCATTCAGCAAACATAACAGTTGAGTAAGCGCTCGTTGCTATTGATGTATTCTTCTAGATCTAAAATTCTTATGGGATGAGCTAAAAGAATACATCAATAACAGCGAGCGCTCATTCAACTGTTGAGTCCGCTGAATACGCCCAATGATACACCTTGGCCGATATCCATAATCCATTCTTAATCTCAATACCATTTCAAGCAATGTCTTTTAAGATAATACCGCTCTCTGGCCGCCCTGGTAAAAATTTCATGCATTTTTTGAACAGTTACTGAACAGTTATACCAACTTCTGTCTAGTAACTGAGAAGGAAAACTACTTAGGATTCCAATCAGGATGTAAAGCGGGGTCTACAATAGAAGTCGTAGCAGTCGTAGAGTCTTAAGTCGTAGAAAATTAACCAATCATAGTAGAATATGAGAAGAATAATCGACTATGATTGGTCAATTTTCTA